TCCATCCATCCATCCATCCATCCATCCATCCATCCATCCATCCATCCATCCATCCATCCATCCATCCATCCATCCATCCATCCATCCATCCCCATTCTTCACTCTCCTGTCACCTGCTTCCCCTGCCCACCCCTCTGTCCCAAAAGAATTGCATCTGTCCCCCTGGCCCGGGTACGGCCCCCCAGCCACTGACAGACTTTTCCCAGCCTTGCAACATGTGACAGCCCCACACCAATGCTTACCTGTCCCTTCCATCACTGACCATCTGCAAGAGGTGACYCAGGATTCCACAGGGACTGCTGCCCTTCGGCAATTCCCACCCCCACCACAAACCCCGGCACAAACAGCCCTCTACTCTCAGGGGGATGGGAGGGGAGTAGGATGTGGGACAGGAGGGACACCATGGTCTGTGTGGGAATGGGTCACCCCAGCCCAGCCTGCCCCACTCCCGCAGCCCCACGTGCACTGGAGAGCTGAAGCAGGGTTGACTCCTTGGACTGGCCCCTCTATCTTCATGGCCATCTCAGCACCCCAAGGGAAGACCCAGTAAGAGCACAGGAAGCATGGGAGATCTCTAGGGCCTTCCAGGACCCTCTAGCATCCTGTGAGGACAAAGGCAGCCTGTTACTTGTGGCGAGTCAGTGCTTAACCCAAGTGCTTCTAGGGAAGTGGTAGAGGGTGCCAGTTGTCATCCTGCTACTGAGGGTTGATTTGAGTCCAGTCAGAGTGAGCAACATCTCAAGAGCATAATGAAACAAGCCCAGAGAGGAACTGAGACAAGTTAAGCATCACCATGGGAAAAGAGGAGCTCACCATAACATTGAGCCTTTACAGCCTGAGCACTTTCCTACCTCTGCTCCCCCCTCCCTTATTTGGGGCAACTCCACACCAATGCAATTGGGCTAACTGCAGCATGGAAAACAGCAGCAGCTTTGCTTCACACGACTGTTTTGCCCTGCAAATTGCACACCCTATACCAGGGATGCTACTGGTGTAGGAGGAGACAAGGCAGGCTGGCATGGAACCAGGGCATCCTTCCCTGCTCTTCATGCCACCAAGGGGAAGAACAAGCTGGCACCACACCGGGATATGCTGCTCCAGGCAGTTAGATCTGCAGGAAAGTGGCAGTACAGTCAAAGAAGAAACCAGGGTCTCTCTCTTCCAGCTGTGCCAGCAGGATGCCAGCTGTGCAAGTTTGCTCTCCCCACCATTTTCCCCAGGGAYCTGGTAGGACAGCGCAGTAGCGGGAGTGGGGCAGGGCCTCCCATCTCCTAAGGAAAAGCACAGGCATMCAGATAACAGCTTTATAGGGGAGGGATCTGGGGACTCCTCCAGATACACACAGAGGAATAATTACAAGTTAAATAGGATCCAAACACACATAAGTTAAAGGGTGGCAGGTGCCCTGCAGCCCCCTGCTCCTTCCAGGCGCAGTCTGTGTCTGCCAGCAAAAAGACCCCCCACAACACAGCCTGGCCCCTCTCCTTGGCTGGCTCCATCTGCCTTTCACAACACAGAGCTGATCTTCCTCTCCGTGGCACCCATCTCGTCGTCCTCCTCTTCCTCTTCCTCGGCCCCTGAGCAAGACGAGTCCGGCCCATAGCTCAGTTCAGCAGTGCTGTGGTGCAGGAAGCCCGAGTCAGGGCTGTGCCCCACAAACTCGGGGCTTTTGGCAGCTTGTCCCTGGGGCTCACTAGGCAGCAGCTTCTCGCAGGTTTTGCTGAGCCCTCGTTGCTTCTCAGCCTCCGCCTGAGCCCCCTGYTCCTTGGCCTTGCGACTCCGCTTCCACTTCATGCGGCGGTTCTGGAACCARATCTTCACCTGCCAAGGGAAAACCCCCAGGGGAGAGGATGTACTCTGCCCCATCCTGTACCACTCACCCACTYACCTTCCCTGCATGGAGGGTCCCCCCAAAACCTCTTCATGGTGCTACATGTTTRCATAGAGGCTGAGGTTGTCATGAGGAGAGCAATACTGTGGGCTGTTGCTTTCCCCCCGTCCAGCCTCCAGCCAAGGATGTGCACAGGGATATTTTCATTTTAGCCCCACAAAAAGTCTCCTCCCACCACATGCTGAGGAATGGGAAGGCTCTGAAATCGAAGTTGGGGGTGCCACTTAAGAAGAGGAGTAGTATTTGTGGGGTGCCCTTYGCAAGAGCAGAGCCTGCAGCCCACCAGGCAGGTCTCTGCACSAGATGCCCTGGAAGGGGCACTGATGGGAGCATCAGCATTGTCCATGACCTTGACTTCCCCCATGGCAGCTCCACAGYGCTATACTCCATCCCCCCAGGGCCAAGGTACCTGTGTCTCAGTGAGCATCAGCGACGTGGCCACCTCAAAACGCTTGGGTCTGGACAGATACTTGTTGAGCTTGAACTGGTTCTCCAACTCCAGGAGCTGTTGGCTGGTGAATGCTGTGCGGGGCCGGCGGCACTTCCCCATCAAGCCAGACTGTGGGGCAGCTGCAGAGCAGACAGTGGGTGGGGGTCAGGGGACAGCAGATCTGTAGGGGGACAACCCCTCAGCAAACCCAGGATGAGGAGGAAGGTGAATGTCTCCATCATCTCCCACCCCAATAATAGCTTTATGGCCTGATAGGAACCAGAGAGATACGTTATCAGGCCTCGGTGTACAACTGGGATCAGTGCTGTGACCGAAATTAATTCTCTTTTTTTATTGCTGGGCCGCACAGGTGGCAGCTCAACGGCCAAGGGCTGCGGTGGGGCTGTCCGTGAGCTCCACTATCTCACCTGCAGCCCTTGAAGGCAGAGCGGCACTGAACCAGGAGGCAGCAGGAACAAAGGGACCTTTGAGAGTCCAGCATGGGGTGGCTGCCGCACTCTGTTTGATCCYTGCTTATCTCCTTTCCACTGGCTTTATTGTCCCCCTGGGGTTCAGCTTTTACTGCTTCTCCCAGCACCACRGCAGCAATCGAACCCAGGGGTTTGCAACTGGGAATAAAGTGCTGGAGCAGCAGGGAGGGATGTGGGGGATAGTGCAGGGCAGGGGGTGGTGGTGGGCACTAATGTGGAAGGTCCTTGGCACATCCCTGCTGACCCATCTTGGGCAACCAGATGGAGCATCCTGGCCCCAAAGATGTGCCCTGC